GGGGGGGGGGGGGGGGGGGGGGGGTCAGCCGCCTTTGCCTGCACTGGCCTTTCCCCCACTTCCTCCCCTTCAGAAGGTCACTAGTTTCAAAGGTCTCCGCAAGTCTGTCCTGAGCTCCTATCTTTCCTTCTGTGGGTCTCTAGGTCCTCGTAACAGCGAAAGGGATTTGTCTCGGGTGGAAGGCTGCCAGAAGTGGGGGCTGGGATCTCTGAGAAAGCAATTACCTTGAAGAGCCTTCCCTGGAGAACAGGCTCCTTCTCTTCCAAATTAGAAAAGTCTCACTTCTTGCCAATTAGTGCAGAGGGCACTTGGAACTCTACCAGCTGAAATGCTAAAGACTCTTAAAGGGAAAGTGAGCAAGGAACAAAGGCAGCCTTCCCAGGTGCCGCGGCAGCAGGCAGGTGGCTTTTAAGGAAAAAGCACAAGCTAAGAATGAGCTGCTCCTCTGGTGGAACACACCGGGATACAATGTTAAAACCCACCGCCAAGGAACCTTAAATACAGAACTGCCCCCCACCCCCCAAGGGAGTGTAGATTTCATTGTCAAATGCTACAACCATCCCATTTACCCTAGGGATGAAATAACTATTCGGAAAAAGACTTATCCCATCAGAAACGTCCGGAGGTAAATGGCTAATTTGATAAGATTAGCTATTTGTCATAATAATAGAATGGCGGAGGACAGTTGCAAGCTTCTCTTTTTTTAATCCTCGCCGGGGGATATTTTTCCCATTGCTTTTTCAAAGACAGTGAAAGGGTCCCACACGAGCCCCCCGACCAGGGCCTGGGATCGAACCTGGCTGCATGTTTCTTTTTAATCACATTGGCTTTGGGATCCACTATAGGATTTCTTTTGAGACAGATCTGCTATCTCTGTTTGGCTTTGGCTGAACAACACTCCACTTTACTTGCTTTGCCTTGTTGAGCAACAATGAATGGAGTAGTCCAGAGGTGTGTAGACTGGGAGGAGGAAGCCTGCTTGGGTTAAAATCTTGTCACATGCACGGCGGCCCTCTTCAGCTCCCTTGATGACTGTGCAAGCTCCTGAAGCTTCAATCTAGGATGAGTTAGGGAAATGGGGTGGGGGGTGGGGGGATCTTGTAGAAACTGGCCAGACCCATGGTTTGGCAGAGATGGCCCTGGAGAAAGCAAATCTAGTCCCGGGAGAGTTCTATACACCAAAGGACATCAAACTAAGCTATATCATTGATGAGGACATTTAATTCTGGAGGTCACATGGAATCAGCTATTTGCTTTTGAGCCGGACCCTGATTTTGACTGCTGACAAATTCTAATGGCAGGAAAGATCAAGTGCCCGGGTTGCAGGTAAACATCATAGCCAGGTATTGCACTCCCTTTGCTGCCCTCCGAAATGACCACTGTTTGAAGAATAAAATAAAACTTGACTCCCCAGTCCTAACATATTATAGATCTGAGCCCCAGAGTGTCCGTGTTTTTACCAGATTTGATTTACTGTAACCAAAGATATTCTAACAGTGTTTTCTTTGGACTTGGCACTTTGCTTTTCCTTTTTAGATTGGCATTTTAATTTTAAAATATTGTCTCAGTGTTTCCACCCCGCTCAGGGCTTGACTTGAGCTTTAGCAAATTAAAACTGGTTATTCTTCTAGGAGTAGAGTTAAATATATTCCCAGAGAGAAATGCCACTTTATTTCTGGTTGCAATTATCTCAAGAGGGCCTTTTACTCGTCCTTGGAGTAGGGCAGGCAATCCCTGGGAACGAGATAAACTGGGAGACCCTTACCCTGCCCCAACTCCCTTCTCTCCCTTTACACTTGAGGCAACTAAATTGGAAGTTGGATGTCATGAATCCTACAGAGACTTTTATTTGGAGTTTCCTGCTGCTAACACTGAAGTTTTCTTTTGTGTTGGGGTCAGGAATACTTAGGAAGCCAAATCTAATGACATGGTCTCAAAGTACATTTGAAATGCTTTTTCCCATGGCAGGAATTCTCAGCTCCCCTGGGTTGGTGAAAAAGAATGTAACAATGCCATCCCTGGTTCCTAAAACCACACTGCATGTGGTAGAAAACCCAAACCACCAGTGGCTTAAGATAGAAGTTGGTCTTTTTAAATATATATATATATATTTTATTGATTTCAGAGAAAGGAAGAGAGAGGGAGAGACAGAAACATCAATAATGAGTCATTGATCCGCTGCCTCCTGCACGCCCCCTGCTGGGGATCAAGCCAGAAACCTGGGCATGTGCCCTGACTGGGAATCGAACCTTGATCTCCAGAATCATAGGTCGACGCTCAACCGCTGAGCCANGAATTGAACCTTGATCTCCTGAATCATAGGTCAACGCTCAACCGCTGAGCCACGCCAGCTGGGCATACAGTTGTTTGGGTTTTTTTTTAATTCTCATTCAAGGATATTTTTTCCACTGCTTTTCAGAAAGAGTGGAAGAGAGAGAAACATTGATGTGAAAGACACATCGATTGGCTGCAACTGAGGTGCCCCTGGCCAGAATTAAACCCGGGACCCTTCAGTCTGCAGGCTGACGCTCTAACCACTGAGCAAAACTGGCTAGGGCCCGAGGAAGCCTGTCTTAGTCTCAGGTCCGAAGGGGCAGGTCACGGAGGCATAATTTGCTATTAACTCTTTCCCCACATTCTGCAGGAACAGACTTTGTTTGGTTTTCAGAATCTCAGCCCCACAACCATAGGAGGTAGTGTTCCTTCCAAGGCATCATAGGAGCCGTCAGATTTCTCATGCACACCTTGGGCCACAAATGAAAACTTAAAAGTCCCTAACTCATCGCTTTAATTTTAATGCTGGGATCCTTTGACTAAACAATTATGCTTTTAGGAATTTATTGTAAGAAACTAATAAGGATGTGCAAAAACATATAACTATCAGGGGGAACCACCAGATCACTGTTTATAATAGCAACAAACTAAAAACTGCCTACAGGAAACAACTGCGCATTTGGTACAGAAATTATGGTACATCCATAAAATGGAATTCTCGGCAGCCATTAAAAATGTTACAGAACATTTATTGACATGAAAAGATGTTTATGACATTTTGATGTGTGAACAAAGTAGACAGTAAAATGATAATTCAATTTTTGCAAAAAAATATATATGTATATGTAGCAAAACAATATTGCCAAGAATATACACTAGAGTGGTAGCAGTGCCTATCCCAAGGAAGGAAGGATATGGGTGTTTATTTTGTTCTTTCTTTACCTGTATCCCTCCCCTCCTTTTTAAAAATATAAATCACACAATTTGCTTTTATAATAAGCAAAAGTTAGTGTAGTTCAACACGTTCATTTTGATGAAAAGAAATCCATTAAAAAAAATCTTGGGTGTTTTGAGAGCAGAAATGACTTCCAAGTTGCCACTGAGGCAGTGAATTTGTTCTCTGTGCAGCTGGCAGGAACCTTCACGATCACAGCCCAAGTCAGGTTCCAGGGGACACGGTGCTCCCCACAGCTATGGGGTGCTCACTTCAGCTCCCGTGCCCCGAGGCCAAGCAGCTCACCTCCAGCCCAGCCCATCCTATTCTTGCTGAGTCACCAGCTTCATCATCTTCAGGGCCATGTCCCCTTGGTCAGAAGGAACCTAGAACCAAGCAGTATGTTAGTGCTCCCGGTTCTGTTCCTGGGGCCGGGTTCAGGGGTGACATCCTGAGACCTGGTTCCCAGGAAGAGTGCCTGCTCTGTGACAGCAACCTGGGAGGACAGCCGCACCTGGGTGCACTCCTTAAAGAGAGGGTCATTTCTGTGAAATGACCACTATGCCTGACAAAGGGTCCTCTGGGCCCCAATCTTGTTGGGTGGCAGGGGCCTGAAGTCTGCGTTTAGGAAAGAACTTTCTCCATTTGGGGCTGATCTGTTTATTTGTTCGTAAGGGCTGTGCTTATAGTACTAGGACCCAGCCTATTCAAGGAAGAGCGAAGATTCTAAACATTTCACAGGACTCTCTGGGTAGGAAACATCCTAGACTGGGAACAGAGTAGAAGCACAGCCCAAGAGGGAAGCTAACAGCAAAAACGAAAACAGGTACAGACAAGCAAACAAGGTCCTTTGTGGGGGTGGCATCCCCATTTTTATATTGTATTCAACTTTGTTTTGTTTCTCCCTTAGAGTTTTTGAATAATTCCTGTAAAAAAAATCTCCTTCCCACACACCACCAAAATGGGGAGGGGCAGAGGCCTCAGTTTCTCTTCTACAAAGACTGGGGTAGAGAGTAAATGGCTCCAAGTTCTGAAATTCCATGGCTCCACGATTCTCTATGGCACACCATGGTCCCTAATTCTCCTGCCAAGCAAGGCCACACAGGCATGATAGAGTTTACCAAAATGACATTTAATCAACTAAAGGGGAAGTGGTTGGTGGATGATTTAATAACAACCTCCAAGAGCTATTTTAAGGCTGCCCCCAAGCATCTCTGGCTCTTTTTGTAACGAAGAGGAAATGGGTCTGAACTTCGGCTCCTAGCAAACCTGTGGTTAGCTCCTCCCTCCTTCCCCTCCTACCTGCCTCTGCAGGGACCCCTCTCTTAAGAGCATCATTCTCTTGGACACAATGTGTGCTCAACACTGAAGGTGCTCAGATCCTCAGAGCCATTAACAAAATGCCCTCTTAACCCTGTCCTGGTGCCTTGCCTCTTCTGTCCAGTTTCCTAAGGAAGTTGTTTCTCTCCCTCACTGCTCGTTCATTTGCTTTAACCTTTCCCCGCTGGTGTCAGAGCCGCTTTACCAAGCACCAAGCTTTGGTTTTCACTTCCTGAAAATGGCAAGGAAAGACAATTTCTCCCTTCTTGCCCTGGGACAATGTGACAATGTGTACCTAAGACAGACTGTTAAGAGGAAAGTAACATTATATTCATTTCAACTAAAGAGTAAAGGACAGAGAGCCCAGCTTGACTCTCATATTCTTAAATAAGAATTTCTAGGCTCAAAGGAATGAAGCTCTAATGGCAGAAATTTGTTAGAGACTTTGAATGGCTCCCAAGCCCAAAGCACTTTGTGTGGAACCAACCCACGCAGCGCATGACCAACTGCCCACGGCTTCCCTCTCAGAATGACTTAAATTTGGAACAAAAGCAGCCTCTTTCTCACCATGTGTCCGGCTCTGAGAATCCAGAAGAAAGCCAGGTTCTTGTGCCTCTTGACAAAAGCAGACGTTTCAGAAGACATAGGGTCACTGTACAGTGGCTTCCACTTCAGCTGATGGAACTTGGGCAGTTCTGACCACTTCAGTTTCTGCATCCAGGCCTCCTGCCCTGGTGAGGGACAAAGAAAGGCCTGGCATTAACTTCTGGGCAGTGTAGAAAAAAAATCCAGGTCCTAGAACTTGGCTTTTCCTGAAGTATAATAAATGTGCATAAAACACAGCCTTGTAAAATACAAATCAAAATCCCGGTGAGGTACCACCGCACACCTGTGAGAGTGGCTGTCATCAACAAGACAGGTAGTAACAAGTGTTGGAGAGGTCGTGGAGAGAAGGGAACCCTCATTCACTGCTGGTGGGAATGTAACTGGTACAACCACTATGGAAAACAGTATGGAGGTCCCTCAAAAAAATGAAGACGATAGCTACCATATGACCCAGCAATCCCTTTTCTGGGTATCTACCCCAAAATTCTGAAAGCATTTATTCGTAAAGATATATGTACCCGCTGTGTGTATTGCAACATTATTGACGGTGGCCAAGACATGGAAACAACAGAAGTGTCCTCCTGCAGAGGACCAGATAAAGGAGATGTGGTGCATGTACGCCATGGAAGACTACTCAGCCATGAGAAAGGATGAAACCCTGCCATTTGTGACAACATGGATGGATCTTGGGTATATCATGCTAAGCGAAATAAGTCAGAAGGAAAAAGTCAAGAACCGTATAACTTCACTCACAGGTGGAACACAAAACTAAGAGTAACAAACAAAAACGCACAGACAGACAACAGTGTGGTGATTACCAGAGGGAAAGGGGGGCAGGGAAATTAGAAGGAGGTAAAGGGGGGATAAATGGTGGTGGAAAGAGACTTGACTTTAGGTGGTGAACACGCAATGCAATACACAGATGATGGAAACCTATATAGTCTTATTAACCAATGTCATCCCAATAAATTTAAACGTTTGTTTTTAAATAGGGGAAAAAACTCTGACCCCTGTAAAAATGCAAATTGACTCAGTGGGTCTGGGTGGGGCCTGAGGGTCTGCATTTCTAGCAAGCTCCCAATGACACCCAGTCCGACAGAGAAACCTAAGAGACGTGACACCCGACCAGTTTTTGCCTTTACTCTCTTACTGCCATATGCTCTATAGGAAGGCGATCGGGGACCTCTGGAGGTGACAGCTGTCAGGAGGACTGAGAAGTCTCAGGGTTAGGAGACGGGAAGGTGGGTTACCCAAACAAACACAGAGCCTTTTCATGTTGTCCTTAGTCCCCTTGGCTCACAAGTCACAAAAACATTCAGTTCTGCGGCTGAGGAGAAACACACACACCCACCACCCCGCATGCCTGGACTGCCGCTGGTTCCGAGCACCTGCCTCTGCACTCCTGCCGGCCCCACCGAACCCAGAAGTGGGTATGCGGTGACAGCCACTGCTACGGGGACTCCACAAGGACCACTTCCCCTGGGTCAGGTTTACAGAGTCATTAGGGTTTAGTCTTAATTCACCTTGCAAGGTTTTCCCTCAGTTAAACAGTCCATCAGTCAGGTGGTCAGGAAAACGTCTTCTTTTATATTTTTCTGGTGGGGGTAGGTGTTGTTCTTTTCTTTAATTATACTTAAGGTTCTCAAAAGCTGGATGGACCTACGCTTCTCTGAGGGGCCACAGCCTCAGGCGGCTCCACCCTCTTCCTAGAGTCAAGGTCAGGGGTGGATGGATACAATAGGAAATGGCCTTCTTCCCAGCACCTCAATGTCACCAGCTCTAAGACTGACAACATCGGAGGCCAGTTCCCTTCCGGCTCAGCCCAGGACACCGCCTCCACGTGCCGCCCAGCCTGGGTTCCTACCCATGGTGTCCACGATGAGGTCCAGCTGTCCATTGTACACGGTCACGTTGACCCCGGCTTCCAGCAGCTCGTCCACCACGCTGATGACTGGCTTCATGAAGTCCTTCTCCATGTTCAGGAAGACACTGTTAGCCTGGCCTGCGCATGAGGAAGGAGGGAGAGGTAGCAACTTGGAATCCGCCACAACACGAGGCGCCTTTCAGCCCAGACCATCCTGGGCTCCAGCACCCAAGTGTAAGCCCTGTGCAGCACCCAAAAGACTGAACGCGCACAGATGCTTCACCCACACGGACCAACTGGCCCTGACGTCCATGCCCTGAGCTGGTCATGGAGAAGGCACGTGCTCTGTTCGCTCCAGATGACAGCAATGGCATTTTTAATGAGGAACTGAAACCTAGAGACGGCCAATGCCCAAGGAAACAGGGAGACTCTAAAGTACTCGTTAAGCTGGTCCTCCCAGGGAGCAACCTGTGCTCTGGCCAAAGTTAGCATTCCTTCTTTCCCAAGTAACACCAGGGCCAAGTTTTAAGTTCTGAACAAGTGGGGCTAGCCTAGTGATAAACCAAATCAGACCAGACCATTCAGAGAAAGCCCTCAGTAAAGCCCCTGGAGGACTAGCCACAGGCAAGACAAGGTGACCACGTAAAGGACTAGTGCAGGCAAGAGGAGATGGTCAGCATAGCATTCCCGCTGGCCTCCTGACCATCATAATACTGAACAATAGCAGCAATAGCGTAGACTTTGAACCTAATCTGGCATGTTATTTACTGTCTCCATTTCTTTGCCTCTCTACAAAATGTGGATAATAGTACTGTTCTATCTGCGACATACTATCACCACCACCAAAACCCATTCTACAAAGTAAGGCCCTTGAATTTGAACCTTTCTTTGCCTCCCCGCCAACTCTACAAGTGACACTTAATTAGATCACATAAGTTACCTCCCCAGGAGCAATCCTTAGGAATAATTTTGAGCTTCGTTCTGATGGGCCCGTTCATGAGCTGATTCAAGGCATCCCGATTTAGGTTTCTCACGTGGCGTTGGTAAAGATGAACTAAAATGAACTGGTACACAGTGAGTAAAAGGAGTGGAAATGAGTCCAAGAGGACATCGTCTCCAAGCTGCCGGGGATGCTGTGCAGAAGAGGGAGGCTTTCGGCTGGGAAATGAAAAGCGTCACCTTGCCCTGGCTGGTTTTGCTCAGTGGTTAGAGCGTTGGCCTGTGGACTGAAGGGTCCCGGGTTCAATTCCAGCCAAGGGCACATAACTCAGTTGTAGGCTCGATCCCCGGACTCAGTCGGGGAATGTACAGGAGGCAACCAGTCGATGTGTCTCTGTCTATTTCTCTCTCCCTTCCACTCTCTCTGAAAAGCAATGGGAAAAATATCCTTGGGTCACGATAAAAAATAAAAAATAAATAAAAAAGCATCACCTTAATTCACCCCAGATGGAGGAAGAAAGTCAGAAACACGCTGAAAGTAGAGGATTTATGTGTTGATCGCTGCATTTTAAGTACTTTGGGGCCACAGAGAGTATCCAGAATGGCCAAAAGAAATCAGCTGAGCAGTGGAATCCAGAGGACTCCTGCAGCCCTGATACACCTCTGACCGGGGAGGATGCCAGCATTTGGCACTCACAGTGACGCTGGGGCAGCTGAAGGAGCCTGATCCAGCCTGCAGCAGGACTGACATCATACGTAGTCCAGTGTGCAGAAGCTGGTTTCCAAACTTCAAACACACTATGCTACGTGAAAGAAGCCCGATGCTCAAAAGACTACCTATTGCATGATCCCATTTCTCTGGGATGTCCCGAAAAGGCAAGTCTAGACAAACAGAAAGCAGAGGAGTGGTTGCCTGGTGCTGAATCAACTGCAGACGGACATGTGGGATCTTTCTGGGAAATGTTCTAGAGCTGGATTGTGGTGACGATTGCACAACTCTGTGAATGTACTTAATAACCACTGAATAGATGCTTAAAATGGGCAAATTTTATGGCACGTAAATGACACATCAATAAAGCTTTTAAATCTGGTAACAGATGGTTACAAGACTTACTGTGGTGATCCCTTTCTAAGGTATATAATTGTTGAGCAATCATGTTGTACACCCGAAACTAATAAAATATTGTATGTCAACTGTAATTTCTAATAAATGAACAAAATAAAGCTTTGAAAAGAAACTGGTTTCATCTCGCACAGAGGATGAGACAGGGTCTAGAAAGTTCACTCACCGAGGTGGCTCTGGGTGAATTCTAGGCTTGACTTCATTGAAGACATGGGGGCGTTTTTAGTTAGGATGTTATAGAAGTTCACCCCATCCGTGTTCTGAAACATAGAAATATATTTGGCTGTTTGTTGTCTTTATTTCTCTATTATCAATGTTGCAAAGTCTTATAGGCCTGGGGGACTTTCTGACCCTGTCACTGCTCTCACACATCAGATTACCACTTTGCATGATTTCTGGAGCATCTCAAGATAGACCCCAATCCTGACACCACCAACCAGGGGCCCTTTATCCATGAGGAAAAACCCACTGGGCTGGCCCCTGAGCGTGCACCCTGTTACCTGTTCAATGACCATTTCTGCTTTTCCCCACAGCTGGGTGGCCTCTTCGTAGAGCCCTTTATTTATAGCATCCAGGACCTGCTCTGCCACCCGAGACACCTCTGCCAGGCCTTGGTCATCGAGAAGAGACTGGAATGCAAATCAAGAACACAAAGGCCCGCTTTGCTTAGCGACACAAATCTGGCTTTGCTACAGGTAGGGATGGGGAACAGAAAGAGTGGGCAGGAGAAAGGGGAGTTCACATATGAGAGTATCTGTTAGAAGTCACCTATTTATTATGGAAGAAATACAGCAAAATGTTCAGAGTCTAGATGGTGGATATATGGGTGTTGACAGTGATCTTTCAACTTTTCTGCATATTTGAACATTTTTATAATCAAGAGTTGGGGGGCTTGCCTGGCTGGCATGGCTCAGCGATTGAGCATTGACCTATGATCCGATCCGGGAGATCGCGGTTCGATTCCCAGTCAGGGCACAGGCCTGGGTTGTGAGTTCGATACCCCAGTTGTGGGCTCGATTCCTAGTAGGGGGCATGCAGGAGGCAGCCGATCCATGACTCTCTTATCATTGATGCTTCTCTCTCTCCCTCTCCCTTCCTCTCTCTGAAATCAATAAAGATATATATTTTTTAAAAAGGGTTGGGGGGCTTTAAAAAATTGTGCTTCTTGTATCTTAAGAAATGGGGTATCTGTGCTGTTTCTTTACATCTGTCCCCAAGGCCAGCTATTGCTTAGCGTCTCCAATTTGATATGGACCAAAAGACGCGAAGCAATGTGGACCACACAGGCACACTCAGCTCACTTTCACCTTCCTGAGGACAGGGCCAGAAGAGGTCAGCTGGGCTGTTGACTATTCGGAGGGTGCAGAGGTGAGGCCCCACCTACTTACCATGCTGTACAGGTAAGGTCCCCAGGAGAGCACTGAATCTAAAGGAAACCACATATGTACAGAATAAGTCTTCACGGCTCCATCCTCCCAAAGAAAAATCCCACCAGCCTCCCTCCCAAAGCAGAAAGGAACCCGGTTGGCTTTACCTCCCAGGGCTCCTTCACTCACCAGGGCCCATGCAGGAAAGGAGCTGATACTCCATGGCTGGGAGGTGGGACGAGGGTGTGGGGGGCCCGTGTTGACTCAGGGCTAATGGCACATTCATTGGCCTGATGCTGGCCCAGTGAGTGAGTCAGCCAGCGATGGCATCCCCACGGGCAGGCTGTGTTTATGCATCGGAGGCTCTTATCTGCAGGCTTCGAGGTTTTTTGACAGTTTAAAATATTTCCCCGCCTTTACATTTCTGCTCTGCTTCCTGCTTGCTTCTTCAATTTGGGGACACTAGCTTCTGCCAAGTTGCTAATTAAGGAGGAAGCTTAATGATTTCATAAGTCAAGTGCTTGTGGCTATCCTGCCACTCAATTCATCTCTACTCCACAAATATATTGAGAATTGACAAAGGGCCTAAAGCCAGTAAGGAGCTTTATAAGATATAAATGTGAGTAACACAATGTCTGTCCTCAAAGAGAAGAGTGGGGCTCAGTTTAGACAAGTTCATTATTACCATGATGCTAGGTTAGGCTAGTGAGTGCCATTGAGAGATGTACCACCCAACAAAGTATCAAGGATCACAAGTTTTAAAGTACATTTAAATACACCACTTTTTTGCTGGAAAGCCTTCCATGGTAACTTAAGGCCAAGCATCTCAAAGTATGTTTCATATAACCTCAGTTCTGCAGAATTTTAATTTAGGTATTAAAAGAAAAAATTCTTGCCCAGCCGGACATGGCTCAGCGGTTGAGCGTTGACCTAGGATCCAGGCGATCGGGGTTCGATTCCTAGTCAGGGCACATGCCTGGGTTGCGGGCTCGATCCCCAGTTGGGGGCGTGCAGGAGGCAGCCAGTCAATGACTCTCTCATCATTGATGTTTCTCTCTCTCTCCCTCTCCCTTCCTCTCTCTGAAATCAATAGAGAGATATTAAAAATTAAAAAAAAATTCTTTTGTGAAATATCTCTGGAGTTATGCAAACCATAACACATTTCTTTACTGCAGGACTTCTCAGAGCTTTTGATGTGCCTGTGAAACCCTAAGGAGGTAGAGTCAGTGTTGAACACTCCTAAAATTTATTCGACTACAGAGACCTTTGTATAGCATCTCATTGGACTGGTATTCTTAAGTACACCCTGAGAAATGCAGGCATACCAGGCCTTCCTGAACCTACCTATGCATTTAGCCCTCCAGTTAACCTTTAACCCAGTGCCTTAGTTTCTTGAAATACAAAACCGTCTGTTCTCCAATGTATCCCACTCCTTGTCTGGTCTAGACCAGGGATCGACAAACTTTTTCTCTAAAGGGACAAATGATAAATATTCGCAGCTTTGCAGGTCTCTGTTGCTATTCAACTTTGTTATTGCAGCCTCCAAACATATGTAAATAAGTGGGCGTGACTGTCCCAATAAAAAACTATTTACCAAAGCAGGGTGGCAACACAGACTTGACTTGTAGGTCATGGTCTGCTGACCTCTGATGAGACCTGAGATGTCCAAGAAGCTTTTCTGCAACGATGGAAATGCTCTGTGTCTGGGTGGTCCAGAACAACAGTCAACAGCCACACGTGACCTACTGGGCACTGGAAATGTGCATAGTGCAACTGAAAGATTGACAATTTTATTGTATTTTAATTTAAGTAGTCATAAATAGTTCTACGGTTGCCACACTGAACTGTGTAGATCTTCTAAAGGACGTGGAACATGTCTGTATATCTTTCTTTTTTTTTTTAAATTGTTTCTTTTCACATACATATGTAGTCTTATTATCAAGCATTAGATTGTAGAATTTTCTTTATTGATTTCAGAGAGAGGAAAGGAGAGGGAGAGAGAGATAGAAACGTCAATGATGAGAGAGTCATTGATCGAGCCCGCAACCCGGGCATGTGTCCTGACCGGGAATCGAACCCCGATCGCTTCGATCCTAGGTCGACGCTCAACCTCTGAGCCACGCCCGGCCGGGCTGTGTATCTTTCTTAGCACCTGACAAAAGACCTACCACCCAGCAAGCCATTAATAATTGTTCATGAAATAAACAGTACTTCTCCCTCAGAAAGGGAGAATTTCTGGGACGGAGAGGTGACACTTAAAGTGATCTGGAAGGAGGGAGTAAGAGCTGAACAGGAAGAGTCATGAGGGGAGGTGGGTCACGGCAAGGTGAAAAAAGACTTTGGACAAGTTGAAGAGCACTTGTAAGGCCATGAGGTTAAAACTGGTCTTCTGGAGACAATGTAGTATAACAGTTAAGTGCATGGATTCCAGTGGCTGCTGCCTGGATTTGAGTCCTGGCTTTAGCTGTGTGACTCTAGAAAAACTGCTTAATCTCTCAGCATCTCAAAAATCGGGGTAATAGTAGCATCCATCCCATGGAGCTGCTGTGAGGATTAAATGCAGTTAACACATGCAAAGTGCTTAGTGTTGTTGTGACACTGTGATGAGACCCCAGGAGGAAGTGTGGTGCTGTCACTTTGAGTGAGGCACCTGGCAGGGAACCTGCTGGACTCTCGTGCTTCTGATCAAGGCATCTGCTGCTTCCTGATAGCCTAGGAGGTCCGGCCAGGAAGGGCGAACAAGCAGCAGCCCTCCTCTCGATGATGACTCAGGGTTCTTGGTTATGCCATATTATTCCCTGGAGGTGCCAAGAATGAGGGCAAGAAATAACCAGGCCAAGTAGCATCAGGATGTCCCGAATCCATCAGGGACGTGGCTCTATAAACGCCTACACTCCCATGTAACGACCAAGAGATAGAGCACAGCCAGCCTAGAAAGGTCCCTCGTGTCCCCTTTCCAGATTATTCCCCTCCCTCCTCCACAGGCAACTCTCTTCTATTTCTAACTTTATATTTGGTTTTGCCGCTGAAAAGTCAGCTTTTGTTAGGTTAGAGCGGTAGTTCTCAACCAGGGGTACTTTTGTCCCCCGGGAGAAACCTGGCAATGTCTGGAAATATTTTTGGTTGTCATACTGGAGTGGGAATACTGGCATCTAAAGGGCAGAGATGCCGCTAACATCCTGCACTGCACAGGACAGCGCCCCACAACAAAGAATCATATCACTTAAAATGTCAATAGGGCTGAGATTTTGAATCCTGTGTCAGAGTGAACCCACTAAGGTGACTATTCGAGATGTCTGAAGCCACGCCCCGGATGCCTGCAACATAAGCAACTTTTATCTGTACTCCCAACAAGGGTGCCGATGCTCAGGTTATGAAACTGAGCACCTGAGTTGCAGGACCTGATGGAAACCTTGCCTCATCAACCTGAGCAACAGATGGGACGGTCACCCCAAATGCTCACGTTCACATCAGCATGGTGGAGGGGACAAGATGACAGACAGGCCTAGGTTTGAATCCTGACCAGGCCACACTCATTCTGTGTGTCAGAGGGCAAGTTCCACCACCTCTCAGAGCCTTTAGAATGTCTTCAACTATAATATCTGATTCTTTTGTGATGAGAACCAAATAAGAGAATTGGGTTCAGTCCATAGCAGCCCACGGTAGGTGCCGTGTAAATGAATTATTCCCTAATTTCTTGTCTGGCCCTGGGGCACACACATTCTGTGTTAACCTCTCCAAGGACCCAGAGAATTCCACTGCCTTGTTCTTTGATCTGGATAACACAGCCCAAAGTCCCAGGGAAGAGTGGAGAAAGGAAGTAAAGTCTAAAAATTCCGTACTTACCAACAGGGGAGATCCAGGAGTCACCCAAAGCAACCCCAGAAAAGTTGCACTTGATGGTCCCTTGCTGAATGGCCTGCAAGAGGAGGAGCCAAGAAACATCCTCACCAAGGGGCCTCGGGGCCTCACCCCTTCCTCAGCAGGAGGGAGCCCAGTCTTTACGCACTACTTTCCCAAGCACACAAAACTTCCGCCCGCCCTTCCCAAGGTCCCCCAAGTCTCCAAAGACCTCAAATACCCAGAACCAAAGGAACTCTTTCCTGCCACCATTTGCAAAATGAGTGGGAACTGTTGAATTTCTCTTGACTCTTTTCACAAGAGTGTTGGCAGGATGTGTGTGGGGTCTGGTGCAGCCCTAGCTTTTTAGGAGGGACACCGTCACCCCTCCGCCCCAAGGTCCGATTTCTCACAAGGTGGTCAGTGGGTTCCTTGGGTACGATCCTCACTATCCAAGCTGCAGGCACCGAAGGGCTGGGAGGCCTCCTCAGGAGGTCCTCAAGGGTGGGATGAGGCCCTTGGACTAGGAGCTCATGCTCCTCTGCCCCCCCTTTTTCATTTAACGTTAATAGTGTAGCCTGAGTGTGAAAATGTAATAAGACGAAAAGTTGAAGACTAGCGATTGAAGAAAGCAGGCTGTGGACATTATGTATAATATGCTCTCATACTGGCTAAAAAATTATTTATTTATAAAAGTACAGAAAAAGATTTCAAGGCTGTCCACTAAGGTGTTGACAGTGGAGAACTCCGTCTGGCGAGAAGGTGAAATTTTAATTGCTGTGTTTTCTTTTAACTTTTTTTTGTTGTTAACCTTCACCCAAGGATATTTTTCCTATTGATTTTAGAGAGAGTGGAAGGGAGGGAGGAAGGGGAGAGAGAGAGAAAGAGAGAGACATCGGTGTGAGAGAGACACATCGATTGGTTGCCTCCCGCAGACGCCCCTACGAGGGTCGGGATGGAACCTGCAACCCAGGTATGAACCCTTGGCTGGGAACCGAATCCGCAGCCCTTTGGTGCACTGTGAAAGCTCCAACCACTGTGCCACACCGGCTAGAGCTGATTGCCGTGTTTTCTAATTTTCTGTTATACACAATACTGCTTTTGATTAAAGGTTCATTTTTTAAAAAGAATTAAGAAATATTAAAAGTAAAACTCATACAAGCTCACTGTAAAAAATTTAAACACAGAAAGACGCCTCTACCCCACATGCACCCTCACACTCCCTAGTTAACCAGTTAACATGTTATGTATCCTTCTAACCCCTTTCACAACCATATACACACACACACACAAGTATATACAATATATACAAAACTATCCATTCTCTCTCTCTCTTTTTTTTTTTTTTTTATATATTTTTATTGATTTCGGAGAGAGGAAGGGAGGGGGGAGAGAGAGAAACATCAATGACGAGAGAGTCATTGATCAGCTGCCTCCTGCACGGCCCCTGCTGGGGATCGAGCCCGCAACCCGGGCATGTGCCCTGACTGGGAATCGAACCGTGATCTCCTGGATCACAGGTCGATGCTCAATTGTTAAGCCATGCCTGGCTGGGAGATATCCATTCTTTTTCCCCCCAGAACTACCCATTCTTTATGATGGCTGCAAAGTATTCCATCACAGAAAGATACACCCATTTTATTTAAGTAATTCTCTATGAATATCCATGAGCTTGTTTTTAATTTTTGGACATTATAAGCAATGGTGCACTAAACACCCTCGGACACACACATGTATGTATAAGTATTCTCATGGAACAGATTTCTGGAAGTGAAATTATTGGGTCAAAGGGCACATACATTTTAAAAGTTGACAGATACTGCCAAATTGCCCTTTTCAAATGATTTACCACTCTAGCCAGTTTTGCTCAGTGTTTAGAGCATTGGCCCTTGGACTAAAGGGCCTTGGGTTTGAGTCCAGCCAAGGATACGACGCCTCAGTTGCATGTACCTCGATCCCCAACCCAGGTTGGGGTGCATGAGGGAGGCAACCAATCAATGTGTCTCTCTCACATTGATGTCTCTCTCTCTCTCTCTCCCTCGCCCTTCCACTCTCTGAAAAGCAATGGGAAAAATATCCATGGGTGAGAATTAAACTAACTAAATAATAAAAAAATTAAAATGAAATGATTTACCAGTTTTCATACCCACCAAAAGTGCGTAAGAGCACTTATTTTCCTGACGTCTTACCAAAGCTGGGTGTTACCAATCTTTTAAATATTTTCAAATCTCATAGATTTTGCTTACTAATAAAATTTGAGCATTTTTTCGTATGTCCACAGGCTATTTGCATTTCTTCTATAAATTGCTTGTCCATATTTTTTGCCAATTTACTTGTAGGATATTGTCCTTTTTTAAATGGATTTACTAATAATATGAATAATTAAAATTGTTTATGGAACGCTACAAAGTTTTAAATTTGTATGTGGTCTAAATATGTCAAACTTATCCTTTTTGGCTTTTGAGTGTTTTATCTTATGAAGGAAAGCTTTCCTACCCAAGAGCATAAAATTTTTCTCCTATATTTTCATATTCTCTTTAGTTTAGATGTTTAATCTATCTAGAATTGATGTTTTATGCAAGGCAAGAACTCAACTTTACTAGTTTCCAAAGTGATAGCCATTTATGGAACGTTCTATCTGTCCCCCAATGACATGAAATGCCATCTTATTTATATATGATCATATGGAAGCATGATATGTGTATATTATATACATACACAGATACATATACATATATAAACATATAAGTATATATTAAATCTGTTTCTAGATTCTTTATCCTGTTGCATTCTTTATCCTATTTGTTTGTTGCTAGGCCAACGCCATACTGCTTTACTCATGGCAGCTTTACAGCTTGTTTGGTATCTGGTAGGGCAACCTTCACTGTTCTTTTTGAAACTCTTCACGGTTATTATTACAGACTTGCTCTTACTCTATATGTACAGGGTCCTATTCTAAGTATATTCAATACCAGGTGAGTATAAAAAGTAACACAGTTGCCTGGCTGGGTGTGGCTCAGCCCTTGAGTGTCAACCTAGGGTCCAGGAGATTGTGGTTCAATTCCCAGTCAGGGCACATGCCTGGGTTGTGGGTTCGATCCCTGTGTAGGAGGCAGCCGATCAATGACTCTCTCATCATTGATGTTTCTATCTCTCTCTCTCTCTCTCCCTTCCTTTCTCTGAAAGCAATAGAGATATATTTAAAAAAAAAAAAAAGTAACACAGTTTCTGTCTGAAACCAAAACAACAACAAAGCCATCTTCCTTGTTACCTTATGAAGTTCTAGAGCAATGCCAGCAGCCATCTTTCCTCCGTAGGACTCTGAGAATATGTAGAATGGAATCGTCTAGCAAGAAAAGGAATTGGTAAAGCACTAAATATCCTGAATACCTTTTAATTCACAAGAATTAATTTCAAATTTTTACTGTATGTCATGGCCAGACAAATGTGCTTTGGGTTGTTTTTCTCCCTCCCTCCCTCTGATACTTATGTCTGATTAGACTACTGGCTCCTGAGTCATTCCTTGAAAATAAAAACCACCTTGAGTGAAGATAGAAACCAAAGCCCACAACCCAACCTGGGGAGTAAACAGGTCTCCCTGAAATCAGCTGGGCGCTGCACTCTTGGGGAAGTTTATTGTGGTGGGCGCAGTGTTACTACTGTTAACCCCTTGCTTAGCTCTTCCTGGGGCTTTTGCTCACCTGGAACTCCGGGCGGCAACTGAAGAAGGACTGCAGGAGAACCAGCATGTCTGATGCCACCGTGGCAAGGTCTTTGGCAAACGTGCCATTCTCGGCCACATAACTGAACCCAGTGCCCACGGGGTTGTCCACAAACAGGAGACTGGCAGACTGGAGCTACATGCCACAGGGGAAAAGCAAAAGCTACAGTCAGGCAGTCAGGCACCAATTATTTTTTGATCATCTGGTATGAGCTCAACAAAAAACCGCACGTGTGAGGATATCAATGTGCTTATGATCCTGTTGCTCAAAGGGATTTTAGAATATAAGGGACAGGAACATTGACTACTCTGGCAAAGAAAAGGAAAGCAAGAAGGAAAGCTTAACATATACCTGGGTATCAGAGCACCTACGTTGTCACTTTTGACGACACAAATGTCCTAAATGCAATACATCAGTGCAGGTGGGAGGCAGCAGTGAGTCTGAACAATAGCAGACAGTACACCCAAGGTCTGAATACCACACAAGAACGGAATGTATTCTAATATCTTCTCCAAAGAAGCTTAGAGTTATAGGATTGTGAATGGTTGTAAAACTCTGACTTGTACACTTCAGATGGATGAAGTGTATGGTATATGAATTATATTTCAATAAAGCTGCTTTTAAGAATTCATTTTTAGGCAAAAGTGATTGGACGAGGTGGGTGAGGGGCAAAGCCAACAACTGAGCCACAGCCCCACCTGGCCGACAGTGTGGTTTTGCCCTCCAGCTTTGGCAGCCTGGGGGTGGGGGCCGAGCAGGTAGACATGGGACTGACCCGAGGTTGGGTGCGGCAAAGCTGCAGAGCAAGGATAAGGGAGCCAGGGGGTGGAGAGAGAGACCAGAGAGACATCAAAAGGGCAGAGGACAGGAGGTCTGAAGTCTTGCAGAAGTCAAGAGGCAAGAGTGGAAGGGAGGAGAGCGGGGAGAGGATGGGAGGTTGTGGCCAGAGGGTGGGACCCTGGAGTCAGATCACAGAGATGGCCAAAAGAGGGTAGGGATAAGGTCCAGGGTGTCTGCTAGAGTAGGCTTCTGTGGACAAGTGGAGAGAAAGGTTACTAAAGGCAAGAGAGACCTGGGGGAAAGCGGAGGGGAGGGAAGGACAGTACTGCTAAACTTGTGACCTCGCCCTGCATGGGGTGGGCCCGGTGGGGCTCAGATCTTGGAGAGGCTGCAGGGCAGTTTCAGCTGGGGTCATCCTCACTGTACCCAGGTAGTTCTTCGTGGTTTGAGGTCACAGTCAAGGGGCCCGATTTCCTCAAAGTTTCCAAATCCGGTGCTGGATCCGCCTGGACCACCCTGTGGGAAGAGAAAAGAAACAAAAATTAATCCCAAGAAAATCTTAGTTAAATCTTAGTCATTATATTGACGACCAAATTCACTATAAATGATTTATGATTTGGTGATGGCTGCGTCAATCCTGTACAAAGGCACAATTTATCTGAAGAACCAGGGACTTCTGCACTAACTGAGCCTCTTGGTAACAGCTAGTCTTTCGAAAAGGAACAGACCTGGGCCAAGAGCCCCCAAGGGAAACTTTCCTACCTCTGATTCCCCAAACCTAAATCCTGGCTGGCCAGGGGCTCACTGACCTTCAGACCACCTTGTTCAGCTCCTCCTTCAAAGACGAGCAATAAGGCCCATGGAGGGGACATGGCAATTAGGGGCTCTACCAGGACTGGACCCAGGGACTTGTGACCTTTAAATAAAAGAGTACTACCCACTCTGCTTTAAAAAAAAATTTTTTTTTAATGTTTTTATTGATTTCAGAAAGAGGAAGGGAGAGAGATAGAAACATCCATGATGAGAGAGTCATTGATCACCTGCCTCCTACACGTCCCTTACTGGGGATTGAGCCCAAAACCCGGGTATGTGGCCCAACGGGGAATCAATCTGTGATCTCCTGGTTCATACGTCGACTCTCAACTACTGAGCCACACTGGTTGGGCCCCACTCTGCTTTTCATATGCCATTGTGGCCACAGGAAATTATCACCCCAGCCCCAGCCAAGGCAATGAGAAGCTGGCTGGACGATACTTCTGTTCGATTTGAGAACATCTGACTACCAAATTTTTGCCTAGAACTTTGGGGTGGGGAGCTGTTGTGCCTGGGGGCAATCCAGCGACTCTGATATATGGTAAAGGTGTCAGTGAGCCAGCGACACCCTGAAATGGCTTGAAAGTGTCACTAAAACAGCTCACTACTCCACTCAGACAATGTGACCTGGATTCTCAAAGACCTGCCCAGAGAAGTCAGTGCATGGTTCCTCAGTAGGCTGCTAAAATAGATCTCCTTTTAATCTAAATTAGTAATTATTTCTTCTTTAATCATAACCTTTTTTCCTCTCCCTTGGGCCTCTGAGGAAATGAAGAGCAGGTTACTTAGTTAGCCAGTTCATAATCCTCCAATAGCATCTCAGCTCCCAGGGTTTATGTAACCAAAGGTCACAAAGTGGACTGTGGACCACAGGTGCCAGTGAGGGCTCCCTCCCAGGAGCTCCTGTCCTATCAGAGGGGACCACCACCACTCAGCTCCGGGACAGGGAGTTCAGGCCCCAGCTGCTACATCTCAATTTTTACATGCTGGCAAGTTACTCAAATAAAATGACCCTGCTCTGCAATCAACCTCAAGGAAGGTTTGTACCTTCTATACTCAGTGGTTTTCAAACTGCACTCCCGAAATCCCAGAAGTGCCTGTGGGCAGCCTGTGACCAAGGGAAGGTCGAAGGAGTCGGGGACCAGCTCCACCCCAGTCTCAGCACTTTTGCTTTTGTTCCTATATAAGCTTTTGCTTGGGGATGGAGAGGTTCTGCTAATTAATGAAAAGTTGTAACAAAATCCCCTAGATTACAAAGTGAAAGCCCAGCCCAGCCAGGCGTGGCCCGGGGTTTAAGCATTGACCTAGGATCTAGGAGATCACGGTTCAATCCCGGGTCAGAGCATATGCCGAGGTTTTGGGCTCGATCCCTGGTTAGGGGCCTCCAGGAGGCAGCTGATCCATGACAACTCTCTCATCACTGATGTTTCAACTCTCTCTCTCCCTCTCCCTTCCTCTTTCTGAAATCAATAAAGATATATTTTTTAAAAAAGTGAAAGCGCAGAAAAGGGAAGTGTCTTGCCATAGCTCTAAGTGGGTGGCAGGAAGGCCTCGAGTGCCCAGGTCCCCTGACTGGCAGGCCTGGGCTTGTCCGCTGTGGGGCTCTCTCCCTGACAACCTGCACCAGGGGTGGACAGAAGTTCCCTGGGCTCCACATATGGGTGCTTCTTCTGTGGCATTTTCATACCTACACCCTTGGCCTGAGTCTCACCTTCAGCTTATCAAAAGAACTGCTCTGATAATCCTAAAAGAGAAAGGCCCCTCCTGGCAAACTGCTCATCTTCGCTCTTTCTCACCAGAAGGTCCACAGGGACCGGGGACACTGGGAGGCTGTTTATGATTACTGACACTTTTGCAGGAAGTGACATTTTCATCCCAGGCAAATGAGTACCAGGGCTCCCTATTTACTGGTGAGCAACCTGGAGCCTCAGCTGAGGCAGGCCTACAGTTTCCAGAGGCTGAAGCAGGACCATGCTCCTCAACCCCTCCCTAGAGATTGGTTTTCCAGGTGGGTGTGCACCATTTCTGCGCAGATATTTTAGGAATGCTTGGAAGAATCCTCTGCCTGCCTCCAAACACCTCTTAACCAGTTCCATGCCTTCCATCCTATAATCAGAGCTCAAGATCAAAACGCAATCACATCTAGGGAGAAGGAGAGGCCCAACATTTAATACTAAGAGACAAGAGGCTGAGTCCTTTCAAAAGATCAGTGTTTCTGAGACCAAGAAATTAGGGCCTGGGAAAGGACTGAGAAAAGAGAGAGAGGAGGAGCCAGTCAGGGTACCTCAGTCTTTGCTTTGGAACCATTCAAAACACTTTCTATCAGTATATAGTCAAACTTGTTTCAGGAGCTTCTGGGAAAGCTTCCTGCCACTGCCTGGGCTCAATGAAACAAACAAACAAAACGGTAAAAGGCGAGAACCTTCACTCTCTGATTTGCCGTCCTTGGTATACCGCTCCTTTTGCCTGCTTCAGAAGGACACTGAACCCCCAAGCCTAGGAGCCCCCTGACTGGCTGCTGGGCCAGATCAGTCCTTTGCCGCTGGCTGAGCTGTGAGCCCTCAGGAGCAAGCAACGTGTTAAGCAGGGGAAACCTGGCCTCAAACCTGGCCAGGCAGCAAAGCCACTTTTACCTGAAGCCACATAACCAGGGGCAGTTCTGTGAAGTTCTTGCAGGAGTTGGTGGCATAATAGAGCCACCAGAACATGTGGGCATCCTTGCGGACAGTCACATAATCCCATACTTCTCTGCCCTCATCTTGGGGCAGGTCAATGATGGCTCCTGAAACAGAAGCACAATTTGATTTTCCTGAAGGATATCTAATGTTTGGATAAATTCCAAGTCCAGTAGAGGTGGTCATGCCAGGCTTGAGATGATTTGGTTTATATTTTAGGCAATTTACTCACTCCAAAATGTTGTGAAATAAGGGGAAAAACCCCCTCAGTTATGAAAAAACAAACCAAACTTAATAGGAGGCTGGAGGCTTCCCCATTTTCCTCCACACCCTCTGTAATGTTTGGATTTTTAACAATAAGCATGAAACACTTTTATCATTCTGTTGTTGTTTTTTTTCTAAAAATATCTTTATTGATTTCAGAGAGGAAAGGAGAGAGAGAGAGAGAGAGAGAGAGAAACATCAATGGGAGAGTCATTGATCAGCTGCAGCCCGCAACCTGGGCATGTGCCCTGACTGGGAATCGAACCCCGATTGCCTGGATCCTAGGTCGACGCTCAACCACTGAGCCACGCCCGGCCGGGCTATCATTCTGTTTTTTAAAAAGAGAGATTTACATTTTGAGGGGAAAGAAAAAAAATCTCAAAATGCAACATGCTGGTTTTTATATCTTATTTAACATAGGATTAAAGAGGCATCGCAAATTAGTGGGACCAAGATGATTCACTATATTATGCTGGGGCAACTGTTAACTTTTTCAAAGAAAAAAAATAGAAATGCAGGTCCTCTCTTAATACTACAAACCAAAATAAATTTCAAATGGATCAGATATTTAAATTTTAAATATTAAAAATAATATGAAAATATAGTAGAGCCTGGCCAAGCGAGGCTCAGCTATTGAGAATCCACCTAGGATTCAGGAGATCACGGTTCGATTCCCCATCAGGGCTCATGCCCAGGTTTTGGGCTCCATCCCCAGCAGGGGTATGCAGGAGGCAGGCGATCAATGACTCTCTCATCATTGATGTTCCCATCTCTCTCCCTCTCCCATCCTTGCTCTGAAATCAATAAAGATATATTTAAAAAAGAAAATATAGTAGAATGTTTTTCTGACCCCCAGATGGGGAAATGGTCATAAAGAAAAAAAGAGAGGCTCTAAAAAAAAATCAACAGTGTTGAGGAGAGAAACTTGTTACACTTCTTTACATCAAAAATACAATGAAAAGGCAAATGACAAAGATCTGCAACAACTATGAAAATGGGTAATTTTCCTCACTCACGTAGATCAATTTAAAAACGGAAGATCTTGTTAAATGAAGAAATAACTTATGAAAACGGAAATGTGAACGTTTGATAAATATGTGAAAGAATGGTTAACATCACTAATATTCAAAGACATGAAAATTAAGGCAATAATGAGGTCACTAAAAAACTTTGCTTATTTGATAGACAAAAAATGATGGCATTTGCTCAATGTCCACAAGTAGACATGAGATTGGCCCTCTGTACTGTTGGCAAGAGTGCACACTGGTATAACTTTTGGGGATGGCAATTTGGCAAAAAAAGATATCAAAAGCTGTGTTTGTGTCCTTTAATCCCACAACTCCCATTTCCTTAATTAACTTTTCTAGCACCTGCAAAACAAGTATCAGAAAAGAGGAGGTTGAATACATTTTCTATGTCACCTTTGCTAACACCTGTCAAGTTACAGCACTTGGGGGGAAAAATATCCTCTGGTGAGGCTGATAAGGCTGGAGATTAAGAAACCCAAAAAGTGGCTTGGGGGAGTAAACCAGCTACTATACTATTAAAGATGTGGCTATAAGAATCTATATACAAATCACAGAAGAATGTGGGCTCCTTGAAAATGACAGACAAGGCTCGGGTCCCTTTTGACCTACCCCCTGGCACTCCTCCCTTCCCTGGGAGGGACCACTGTGAAAATCTGGGGAGTCAACATATTTGACAACATTTCCCAGACGCAAACTGAAGGGCATATGATCCTCCTTTTACAAAAGGGGAAAAACAGCTGTTAAGCAACTTGCCTAAGATCACCAGGCAAGTCTGCGGCCAGCCCGAATTCTCAGTTGATTCAGACCAGGAAACATTTTGCTGGGGGTGGAAAAGACTAAAAACAAATTGCAAGGCACCCTTTAAACACGAACGGGTTTTGCCAAAAAGGACCCTAGCGAGGGGAACCTCTATCCTGTCTCCTCTGACCCAGCAGAGGGGAAAAGGCCTCCCGGTGATTCTCCGGGGTCCTGTGAGCAGCCGGTGGCCGCAGGGACGGGGAAGTGGCTTTACGACCGTGGAAACTCATCGGTCAGCAGTTTCTCCAAATCACACATTTTGCACATCTGCTCCTACCTAGGGAAGATGGGAGCTTCAGACCACCCGGAGCCAAGAAAGGGTATTAAAAGCACTCTCGATTCCAAAACAAAACAACAACAAAAAACCCAGAGAGGTTCCAAAGCATGTGGGAACAGAGATGTGCTTTAAAACGCGCAAACGCGCAGGCTCGCATCCCCGGAGGGAGGAGGCGGCACCGGCCACTGGCACATGCACCTTCTGCCCGAACCTACCCGAACCTACCCGAACTCAGGCCCAGCAGCAGCAGCAGCGGCAGGAGACGGGCCCGCGACGCCGGCTCCATGACGAATACCGCGCCGCAGCGCCGGCAATAGGCTGGACCCGGCCCGGCCACGTGACGGCGGCGGGCGGGCCCGGTCGGACCGGAGGGGCGGGGC